AAATGTTTTGAGAATGACGAGGGCAATGAATGTACAAATGTGCTTTACACAATTGATGTATATATGGATTGTGATAAGTCTTATGAGCCCCTAATAAAATGATTTTTTTAAAAAAATTCCATTTGTTATTCCAGATTGAATCTGATCCTCTATTGGTGGGATTAGTTCAAATATACTTAGCTCAGATATATATTATAGTACAAAATAAAGGTCATGAAATGTTAATTTATCTCATTAACTTTTCATAAGATTTCCTAATTCTTATACTGAGGAGGATTGGAGTGATAATGGTCATTCGGTAAGCAGAGAATGCTATTGGCTTGGCTGTCTTTTCCTGTTGTTCCTGCTGTGTGCCCTCGGGTTGGCTGTGACTTACAGTGACCCTACATGGCAGAGCAGAACTGTCCCAAAGCGTTTCCGAAGCTGTCATCTGGACCAGAGCAGGTCAGACAGCAGCTGTGGATGATACTGTTATTCAGTTGGCAGCTGAGTGATTAGCCATTCATCAAGCAGGGCTCCTTTGCCTTTTCCTAGCAAAGCTTTCCACAAGCAAACCCACTGCCACCAGGGTGATTTAGACTCCTAACTGCTGCACAACGTCTCCAATGCTATCCAGCTTCCTGGGAGCGGGAAGCCTCAACCTTCGTCCTCAGAGTGGTTGGTGGCTTTGAATCATCTACAGTCCACATGTGGGTGAGCAGCCCCATGGTAGCTCGCTGTGCCACCAGGGCTCCTCAGCCAAGAGAACGCCTGGCTAAACAGGGTCTCTACCTAATGCATTTCACTGAGTCACAGGCTCAGCTGAGAGAAGTCAGTTACTTAATCAGAAAAGATGGCCTATGTTTTCACAAATGAACTTGTTTCTCCAAGATTCAAAATGCTGGTATCACATAGACATGGTTTATAACAAGAGACTAAGCATGTGGTCACATTTTCAAAGCAGAACCCATTATCTGGGTACTATTGACCAGCTTCTGAAACCTAACTAAAGTCTTTGTTATGATCTAAGAATTCAATTATTTTCCTTTCTTACCTTGTTTCAAGCCTTTTATACAATACACTGTTATCTGTTCTCAGCACAAAAACGATATGAAACCAGCGTTCAGGGAAGAAATCACAGCCATGGTAATCAATAATAACTCCACCTTCTTTCATTTGGTTTTCTAACTCATCAACTACCTGTAAGAAATGTGGGAAAAAGCATGCTCATCAAGAAAATGGAGGGTATGTTTCCCATTAAACTCAACAAAACAAGACATCGGTGCTTCTGTGGCCGACTTCTCGCCTTCCAGACGGCAGCCCCAGGGTCAGTGTGCAGCCACCACCACCAGGGGGCTTCGGCTGCAGTGATGCTGCACAGGCTGCAGCGGAGACTCCGGGGGGCAAAAGGCCTCGTGATCTTATCATGGAACACCATAGGGTGTTTTGCCACTAGTCCTGGGGATGACACTGGACCGGCAACATGTCATTCCACCGTATGTAAGCTTGCTATGAATTGGGGTGATTTGTTGGCAGTAAACAAAATTCAACAAATGTATACGTCACTAACTCATTGTACTTACTCTATCTTCATCTAAAATGGGACAGCCATACTCTTCATCATAGCCATCATACAACTGCCCTAAAAGAGATTCACATTGGCTTAATTAGTATATTGAATATAAGTAAATTTAACAGTTTCTTCAAAGTATAAGAAGTGTATCATCACTTAACTCTTATAAAGATAAGGCAGTAATGCAATGTCACATGGACACCAAATATAACGAGCAATACTGTTAGAACTGCACCTAAGGGCAGAGATGGTGCCACAGCTGAACCCATTTTAGATCTCAAAGTTGAGTATCAGTAGAAGACTGTTTTGTTTTTGCTCTTGATGAGTGGCAGATTTACATTATGAGTGGATTTAAGCCCTAACATGTATAGTGAACCCTCGCCACTTCACGCTTCGACTTCTGCGGCTTCACTCTATCGCGGTTTTTGCGTAACAGCGCATGCTCTGTCATTACTGCCACTGATTGACTCATACTGTAAACGCTTGATGCCATAAATAATATAATAAATAATAAATGATAATCGTAACGTCCAAAACATTTTACATTTTCCCTTTTTCGTTTAATAAATTGGGTAATACGAGTGTAATGGTGACTAAAGGGGTGTTTTTTCATGTCCTCTATGCTCTAACTACGAAAATATTTGATTTACAAATAAGGAATCCTACTTCGCGGAATTTCATTTATCACGGTTGGGTCTAGAACCGATTAACCGCGATAAACGAGGGTTCACTGTATTAGGCTAAGGATATGGAGTTTATCAACAGGTTAGCCCTCTGTCACTGAGATCACGTCCTCTCCACGAAGGTGGGTGTCAAAAAGAGTAAATACCCAGATGCTCTTGAGCAGTAGCTGTTCAGTCTAAATTTCTGGCATTCATAAGAAGCCATTCCTCACAAGAGTTAACTAGTTTCAGAAAGCGAAACAAGAATGATGAGCAAAGTAAGGCAGATTTAGATTTAACATAAAAACACTTCAAAACATCACAGTGGACTTTGCAAGGAAATCTTAGGTCAGGAAGCAGGGCATCCTAATCCCAACCCAAGCAGAACCTTTAGGATGTATATAGTCCAAGTCAGATTTAGATCAACCAGTATGCTTGGCTGCTACCCAGAAGGTTGGAGGTGCAATTATACCTAGACATGCCTTGGAAGGAAGGTCTAGCAATCTACTTCCCAAAGATCCATCATTGAAACCCGTACAGAGTACAGTTCTGCTCTGAAACACCTCTCAATCAATCCAGCAGCAATTGGTATGGGATGCTAAGAGCATATTGCATGGCAGGCTTCCCGCCTCCTTTCATGTAATATTTTGGTACAGGTTGAAATTAGGCTAAAATAAACACTGGTTCTAGTGACAAGAGTGGTCTAATGCTTAGCTGACAGCAGAGGCAGTCGTAACTCTTCCTAGAGCTCCTCTGGATGGCACAGGACGGACATCCAACAAGCCGGGCATGTGAGAGTCCTCCTAGAGGAAGGGACGTCTAAGTGGAAACTTGAAGAAGTTGCCAGGGAAAAGGAGGCGGGGGGAGGGGGGGGGATTGTGGAAGACCATTCCAAATAGAAGGGAGCCCTGATGGCATAGTGGTTATGTGTTGGCCTGAAATCTGAAAGGTCTGCAGTTTAAAACTACCAGGTGGCTCCTTGGGAGAAAGACAGGGGTTCCTACTCCTGTAAAGGTAGTATCTCGGAAACTCAGAGGCAGTTCTGTCCTGTTTTGTAGGGCCACTCGGCAGTGAGATTCTAGAGGATGCGATGTCCAAAGGCAAAGTCCAAGAGAAAGCAGCCTTATCAAGGGAGGAAGCCTTTCTGAAGAGCTAGAAAATAAGTGGTGTCAATACTTGATCAAACGGCCTTGAGGGCATGATAAGGAGTTTGGAGTTTATTGTCAGGGAAAGGCAAATCATCAAAACATTCTAAGCATGAAATGACATATTTTTAAAAATTCATTTTGGTTTGTGTGTAAGTTGGAAACAAATATGCAAGAGGCAGGATACCCTTTTTAGATCACTGCATTATTTTAGGGTGACTGATGGTGTTCTGCGTGATTAGTGACGTTCAGTATAGAGAAAACTAGAATGATTTCTCAACTTCAAATTTCCCAAAATGAAAAACTTTAGAATTTTTTTTGAAGTTTATAGTTCTGTGCAGAAATATGAGGCAGAATGTCTGCTTCTGTTAAAATGTATTCTTTGAAACCCTTAACTAGTTCTACTCAGTCCTATAGGGTCAAGGACTGACTCAATAGCAGTGAGTTTATTTTGGAATCTAAGTAAGATAAGGAGCCGTAGTGGTGTAGTGATTTAAAAGGTGGGCTGCTAATCAAAAGGTTGGTGGTTCAAACCTACTAGCTGCTTCAAGGAGAAAGATTGAGGATGCTGTGATAAAGAGGGAACCAATCACAATGCTCTACATATAACCCCCTCCCTGGGGGACGGACAACAGAAAAGTGGGTGAAGGGAGACATCGAACAGTATAAGATATGCAAACTAATAATTTATAAATTATCAAGGGTTCATGAGGGAGAAAATGAGCTGATACCAAGGGCTCAAGTAGAAAGAATGTTTTGAGAATGATGGCAACAAATGTACAAATGTGCTTGACACAATGGATGGATGTATGGATTGTGATGAATTGTACAAGCCCCCAATAAAATGATTTAAAAAAAAAAAGATCTGGTCTCTCAAACTAAGGAGTCGTTCTGCTCGGCCCTGTAATATCCCCGAGTCAGAATGACTAGACGGCAGTGGATTTGGTCTGGTTTACATAGACACAAGATCTTCATACATTTTTTTAAAGGACAAAAAACCCTTGGGTTGATAAGTGTCTGAAAGTTTAGAAAACCATATCAATTTCTTAAATAAGGTTTTATGGGTTAAAGGAATTTTAGTGATTAAAGGATTTTACTACTTGCAAAAAAATATTGTGGGACCAGAATTAAAGGGCTACAGAAGCCAAGTTCTTACCTCTAAAGCTCTTCCCAGCAGTTATTAGCCAAGCTATAAAATTATCTTTCTTTAAACAGCCACCTTGGAATTTATTCTCATAGAAACCTTTAGTCAGACTGGGGTGCTGTTTTGATGCTGCTGCTGCCAATATTTAAAATGTTTGTCAAATACATTTCTTACATTCACTCAGTTCAAGAACCTTGTAACTGTAATACAATAGTATGTGATTATTAGTTTCGCAGGATTGAGTGCTTTTGACACTGGCCTTTTATGTAGAGGAATAATTAATTCGGCTTGGAGAGGTTAGGGAGAGCCAAATGTGACCATGTGAACTGGGCTTCTGAGGTGTTTGGCAAGGCAGGTCAAAAAGGAATGGCAGGCAGAAAGACAAGTGGGTGGGAAGTCTCTAGTGTGTCTGAGGACATCTATTGTGGAAAGACCAAAGGGTACAGCTGCAAGGAAGGCTGAAGGTAAACTATAGCCAATTTATAGTAAAGGAGGCCTGTTGGCACAGTGCTCACCTGTTGGGCTACGATACACACGTGGACAGTTAAAAACCACCAGCAGCTCCAAGGGGCAAAGATTGGGTTTTTTACTCCCCTAACAATTAGTCTTGGAAACCACAGGGGATCACTGAGTCAGCATTGACTTGATGGCAGTGACTTTTTTTTTTTTTTAATGCTTAATAAGGAGCTTTGGTGGGACTGTGGGACAACACTGGGCTACTGACCACGGCAGGCAGTTCTCAAACCCACTAGCTGCTCCACAGGAGAAAGACGAGGTGCTCTGCTTTCCGATTTAGCCTGAGAAACCCTAAGGAGTTTTCCTCTGTCCTATGGAGTCAATGAGTCAAAACTGACTTAATGGCACTAGGTTTTTAAAAAATCCTTTTACTAGGGGCTCATACAACTCTTATCACAACCCATACTACGTCAATTCTGTAAAGCACATTTGTACATTTACTGCCATCATTCTCAAAACATCTGCTCTCCC